TGTGCCCTAGGTGAGGTGCCGGGAATGGAGTTCAGATGTTCTCATGTTTTAACATTTGGCTATCCGTGGGAGTATTTTCTGATTTTTTTTTTAAAAAGACTTTTGTGTTGATAGAAGAGTAGGATCTGTGAAGTTTTATTGTGCACACTTCCATTAACCATGTCGTTATGCTGAGTTTGGTCATCCTCGAGAATCTTTTTGGTGTTCTTGTTAAACCAAATGTGAAGACTTGGCAGTGCCATTCTTGGTAAACCTGCTATTACTACTGTTACTTTCAGACAGAGATAAAGTAATAAGATCTTTTTTTTTCAGTAACTCATTATCTCATTGTGAGCATTGACAGATCAAAGCATGTTTTTTTTTTCCCCACACCTAGGTGTCCTTATGTTCTATTCCTTGACTGAGTTAAAAGATTCAAGATGAACCTGAATCTTCCTTTATTCTCCAGAAATATTCTCTATAAGTAACACATTTAGCCATGAATTATATAATGAAACTTTTCATTGATGATCATGAATCGGATAATTGGAAGATCGTACATTTTAACACATCTGATAGGAATATTGAGTTTCTAGTGTATATTTGAACTTGTGAAGGTTAAAATTTTATGCCTGTTATTTTTGATGTGGGCCTTTTAGCAATGAATGATTCAGGTGTGTAACTTTTTTCTTACATGATATGTTTGCGTATATATTATTTATTTTTGAGTTTGGAGTCTCACTCTTGTCGCTCAGGCTGGAGTGCAGTAGCACACTCACGGCCACCGCAGCCTCAACCTACTGGGCTCAGGTGATCCTTTCACCTCAGCCTTCCAAGTATCTGGAACTACAGGTGCATCACCATGCTTGGCTATTTATTTATTTATTGTAGAGATGAGGTCTCGCCATGTTGCCCAGACTGGTCTTGAACCCCTGGGCTCAGGCAGTCCTCTTAACCTCGACCTCACAGAGTGCTGGAATGAGCCACTATGCCCGGTGCGTGTTTATGTTTGTGTGTGTTTGTGTGTGTATGTGTGTGTGTGTGTATTACTATTAGAGGAAAGGATTACACAACTGGAGGTTTCTGAGTAAAAGTATCCATTCATTTATTTGAGGCAGGGTCTTGCTCTGTTGCCCAGGGGAGTGCATGGTGCAATCATGGCTCACTGCAGCCTCGACCTCCTGGACTCAGGGCATCCTTCTACCTCTGCCTCCTGGGTAGACAGAATGGATGACAGGTGCATGCCACCACACTTGGCTAATTAAAAAAAAAATTTTTTTTTGGTAGAGATGGTGCTCTTGCTTTGTTGGCCAGGCTGGTCTTGAACTCCTGACCTCACGCAGTCTTTCTTACATTGACTTACGGGAGTGCTGGGATTATAGGTGTGAGGCACCATGTCTGACCAAGAATCACTGATTTCATAAAAGCCATTGTTAGTTTTGGTAGTTCATATTTCTTGAGTGTAGGGATGGCATGTAACTATTGAATATCTACTTGTTATAGGCTCAGTTTAAATCTTGGGGTGCTCTATTGATCATTATTTGACATAATAGATTTTGACAGCCTTAAACTCCTCCAGGAATGTCTTAAAGGTGCTAAAAATTGTACAGCAAAATTTTGACTTGGTAGTTGTTTTTCACCAGTTTCATCTAACTTTGGTGTTGACAACACTTTAAAATGTAAAAGCAACTCACCAGAAACCAAATTGCAAGGCACATATTTTGCCTTTGAAGTTAGCATTAGGTTGGAGCTAGGAGTGTACTCTGATTATTTCTGCAGAGAAAATCTTGAATCCATGCAGTAGGAATGCTCCTGCATTTGCAAAATTTGTGGTTTGGTGTAAATACCACAGTCAGGTATATTTACTTTGCTCTACCTTAGTCATAAAGGGAATGCTCTTCTTTCTTTGTGTTTTCCACTTTGATCTGCTACCCTGACTCTGTCTGTAACCAGATTCCTCAACCTGTTGAATTGTGTGGCTTGGCATGTTTTGGTGGGCTTGGACTTCCTTGCAGTTTTGTGTTAATATAGTAACGTCTTCAGAAGCATTGATAAAAACAACTGGGAACAGAATGTTGAGTTAGAAGAGATTTTTAGAAATCACTGGATCTTTTGATTTTTTGAATAGTTTTAGCTGTGACGATCTTAATTCATGGAAAGTTACTTGAAAACTCACCAGATAGATTTAGAACTGGAGGTTGTGAAAATTGCTGAGGATGCCGACCCTTTCATTTCACAAATGAAGATTCTTGAATCCAGAGAGGCTAGATGACTATGATCTCTGACTCCTTCCACTCAGTCACTTGGCTTACTCTTCCCAGACTTCTGGGGTGGGGTGCTTTGTTTTTGACTTTTGGAGGAGGACGGTGATGGTGCTCAGGGCTGCCTTGTGGAATTGGCTCTGTCCTTCTCTCGCCATTTTTTAGCTTTCACATGGAGCAGATTGGATTTATTTCCGTGACTGGCAGATGAGAGTAGTTTATTATCTTTGTGACTGATGGACAGGGAGAGGGGAAGACCAACATTACTGGACTCTGCTCCTGCACCAGGCACTGCCAGGCACCTTCCAAAACTCTGTTCATTTGTGGTCACCCTGGTAAGTAGTTGCTGACATTTTCCTTTCACAGTTAGGAAACTGAGGCACAGAGAGGCTGATACTTGACCCATAGTTGAAACTGCTTTGAGGACAAGGAGGTGAAGGAAGGGCTGTCTAAGCAGGCATGAAGTACATGGCATATATGGGGACATCCGGGACAGTTAGAATACAGGATGTGTGTAGCATGTGGTTGGTGTAGCGCTGGAGAGAGAATCAGTGTTCATTCACATGCTATTCTGTTCTTAGTTAATCTTAAGGGCTAGACGTGCTTTCCTAGGGTGTGTGTGCTGGTATTTTATTGCTTCAGTTAGGTAGGTGTTTGGATGATAGTATCTTTCCTTCGTTTTTGTGGGGAAGGGGTTATACTCATTTGCATAAACCAGTAGCAGTTTGAATTTTTACAACGGGTGGTAAAAATCTGGGTTTATTGATTATTTCAGCATATGTGAGGACATGTTGTGGCAAGGTACTTGAACTGGCAGGGGTGGGATCAGGGCTTACAACCTACCAGCAGTTTTCAGTGGATCTTGAAGTTGCTGTAATAATTGAATTTGGTGTTGTAGTAATATATTGATTGATATCCAAATTTAGAAATAAGTTTTATCTATTAACTAGTGATTGTATCGAGATTTTATATAAAACCTAAAAGTAATTCCTTAGTAAAAAAAATAAATAAATAAAGACAGTGCCATTTATGTCAAAGTGCTGGTTGGCTGCAGGATATTAGATGTAATATCTTGTTTTGGTGGGACTTGGCCACCAGCACACCGGGTGCCTGTAAACAGTCTTCACTTTGTCTTGACCTGTCAGGAAGTCGAGAGTGCGATGTCTAGCCAAGGTCTGGTCTTCCCAGGCTCAGGCCTGAACTCAGGAAGGGCACAGCAGATATGGATTCTGAGCATTGAGGAGGTGGTGCCCCTGTGTTCAGTGTGGATGGGGAGCACATTGTCTCCATGCAGTTCCCCAGAGTGACATTTGGATATCTGTTGGGTAGTGTCCTATTCAACATTTTTACCTGGTAGTATGTTTTCCTGGGATTTTTCAGCCTAAGCATATTTAGAGTTATGACGTTATCAGAATTGCTCTATCTCTTTCAGACTACATTTTAAAGTCCATTTAGTTGTATGTGTGTGTGTGTGATCAGTGCCCCCGTTCCCCTCTGCCTTTCACATGTTCTCCAGGGACCGCAGGTGCACAAGATTGAGTTGATCACATGCTTGAAACCAGGATACACTGTGGCTGTCTATGCAAGGCCCTTCTTTTTTGGATTTCATTTTATTTTTTCCTTCTTGTCCTCCATCCCCAGTTCCATATACCAGTCTCTTCCAACCTCAAGTATATGATGTTGTTAGTGTACATTCTTCCAGTCTACTTTCCACATGCTGTCTCACACACACACACACACACACACACACACACACACACTCACACTCACACACACACACACACTCTCTCTCTCTCTCTCTCTTTCTCTCTCCCTGTCTCTCGGGATTTTGTGTTAATCTTTTTTTCATTTACCACGATGTTTTGAGATTATCCATGCTTCTCCAGGTAAATCTAGTTCATGTACTCTGACTCTACTATGTAGTATGCTAGATGACTGTCAGCCACAGTCATGAATGACAACTACAGCAAACATTCTTGTCCCCTTCAGTTGTGTGTGAGAATTTCAGGTATATATGTCAGCATTGCTAGGCCACTGAATGTGTGTGTATTTATGTTTAGTTTGATGGAGTTTTGGCTTTCAGAGATGCCTTCACTCCTGTTAAAGTACATGTCTTCATCACTTAGAATGTGACAAATGTCATTCCTTTATCCAGGCTTTGGCTCCATGAAAAAGTTTCTGTAAACAAATTTTTAGTAAGATTATTAAAAGCCTTTACTCTTCAAGGTCATCCTTTATTTTCTTTCAGTAATGTTAGCTAGTGATAGGATCATAGATCATTTTTTAAAGGATGTCTCTGTAATGCCTATATAATTGTGGCAGTGTTATAAAAATACAGTTATGTGTCTCTTAGCAACAGGGATACATCCTAAGAAATGTGTCATTAGGCCATTCTATCATTGTGTGAACTCATAGCGTATACTTACACAAACCTAAACGGTCCAGCCCAGCACACAGCCGGGCTATGTGGTATAGCCTGTTATTCCTAGGCCACAGACTTGTATGGTATACTACAGTACTGAATACTGTAGGCAGTTGTAGCACAATGGTAAGTATGTGTGTATCTAAACACATGTAAACACAGGAAAGACACAGTACAAGTGCAGTATAACAAATAAACAGTGGTACACCCGCATCGGGCAACTCCATTCTCATCTGACGGGCCCTGTCATAGATGTGGTCTATTGACCAAAATGTTATTATGTACTGCAAGACTGTACTATAACTACTAAGATTTTTGTTTTTCATTTTATAGGGCGCCAATGCTTCGGCATTAGAGAAAGAGATTGGTCCAGAACAGTTTCCAGTCAATGAGCACTATTTTGGATTAGTCAATGTAAGTATCCATTGATAGTTAGCTTTCAGAGTCCTATTGGGAGGCAGTTTGAAAACTGACATGCATTTCATGATTTAATAAAGAAGCATTGTTCATTTGTATCAGTAGAATTAAATACCGAGAGACTTGATTGGTGATTTAAAAATGATCCTTAAGGGAAGGGAGACAAATTTGCCTGAAGTCTCAAGTCTTAGAGAGAGAGGTAGAACAGTTTCTGACTTGTCAACCTGATTCTATTTTGTGTCAGAAGTTTTTCATAGTCAAAATTTCATATGTGGCCTAGACCAAGTGATCACTTCATTCTTTGAGCATTATGTAATTGTCTAAATATAAGTGGCACAAATATACAAGTATAAATAAAGAGAGCTATTAAATGCCTCCATGTGTTGTGGGTATTAGTCAAGTTACTTCTGGCCTTGTGCTAATACTGTAGATATAAAGGTGCAAAGTGCAGGAAAAATACATCTCAGTTCTTGTGGAGGTAATTCTAGTAATTATACATTTTGAAACCTTTGGAAAAATATTTTTTTTTTTTTTGAGTTGGAGTCTCACTCTGTCACCCAGACTGGAATGCAGTGGCCACTCCCGGCCACCGCAGCCTCGACCTGCTGGGCTCAGGCGGTCCTTCCGCCTCAGCCTTCCAAGTAGCTGGAACTACAGGCACGTGCCACCACGCCTGGCTCATTTTTTTTTTTATTTATTGTAGAGATGAGGTCTCACCAAGTTGCCCAGGCGGGTCTTGAACCCGCGGGCTCAAGGAGTTCACTCACCTCGGCCTCCCAAGGTGCGGGATTACAGGCTGAGCCACCAAGCCTGGCTGGAAAAACTTTTGAAGTCTTTTTTGTTTTTTGAGTCCGAGTCTCTTTCACCCAGGCTGGAGTGCAGCGGCATGCTCATGGCCACCCCAGTGTCGACCCGCTGGGCTCAGGCGATTCTTCTGCCTCAGCCTTCCAAGTAGCTGGAACTACAGGTGCATGCTACCATGTCCGGCTAATTTTTTTGGTATGTTGTAGAGATGAGGTCTCATCAAGTTGCCCAGGCTGATCTTGAACCCACCCTGGGTTCAGACAATCTCTTGCCTCAGCCTCCCAAAGTGTGCTAGGATTGCAGTCTTGTCTCATCAAGTTGCCCAGGCTGATCTTGAACCCACCCTGGGTTCAGACAATCTCTTGCCTCAGCCTCCCAAAGTGTGCTAGGATTGCAGTCTTGAGCCACTGTGCTTGGCCTACTTTTGAAGTCTTAACTGAATGTTACCTGTTCTGAGCTATTGGAGAATACCACGAATCTGTGTTATATCATTGTTGTGAAAGTTTATTTTATACTATTTTACTGTGAAATAGATAATAGATCCATGGTAGGTGTTTTAAGATACATATATTGATGACAAAACAGAGAACACAATAAGTCATGTTGAACAAATTGGTGTATCACTAAATTTACTAGTGTGTAATGAGGGTATGAGGTGAATTTCTCGTGGGATTTGAGGAAAGCAGTTGATTTGTGTTTTCCTTGACTGTGTGTACACTGCACATAACAGAGACTCAGCAGTCACCAGCTCTCTGTCCCTCCCCGAAACAGGTTATGCATTGTTTTTTTTTCTGGAGCATTTACCCTTGCATTTTAATTAAAATTAAATTTTTTGATTTATTGTAGAGATGAGGTCTCGCCTGCCCAGCTAATTTTTTGGTTTATTGTAGAGATGAGGTCTCGCCTGCCCAGGCAGGTTTCGAACCCACGGGCTCAGGCAGTCCACTCACCTCAGCCTCCCAAAGGCACGGGATTACAGGCTGAGCCACTGAGCCCAGCTTCTTTGACTTTTTTTCATCCAGCTCTTTGACTTTTTATTTCTTAGATGCTACTTTTATTTTTTAACCTCTCGTGCAGGCAATATCTTCTGTTATTTTCTCATATTATTTAAGTTTTTGTTGTTGCTTAGATTTTCTTATGGTTACTGGATTGTTCTGAGATCTGAATTAGAACTCTTGCCTTTCTTGTTGGATGCTTTCCTCAGACTTTCTTCATATGTAAAATCTAAGCTGATGGCTCTGTGTGCTGTGGGCAGAGCCTGCATACCTCTAGGGTAACCCCTGGCAAGCCTACTTCAGTAGATCGCTTCTAAGGGACCCTCCTCCTCCCCATTTCAGCAGCTAGAGGCTCTTTGTCTGGCTGTGTTTCCTCTCCTGCTGGGAGAATTCCTCCAGTCTCCACCTAGGGGTGGCTTAATTCAGGATTTTATTTAATCTTATTTCCTGTTCTGTGTCTCACCGCTGTCCTTTGTGGGACCCAAGGGTCCTCAAGCCCAGAGTCTCCTGCTGGGCCTGTGGAGCCCCAGCCTACAGCCATATTCTGCAGGGTGGAAGGAAGCTTAAGCGCTTCACTGTCCTTTTAACCTTACACCAGAGTTGTGTCACTAGACAGCAGCCCCGTGTCCTAAACCTTCAGGAGTAAATTCGCTTTTTTCTCACTTCTCTCTCCCTTTCAGGTACTTGGGCTCTGCTTCTTCTCTCTCCACCTCTGTCTTCCGGAAGTCTGCTACCATCTCCAGTCTGTAGTTGTCTTCTTCATGGCCTTTGGAGTTTTACCCAATCTCTTCCTTTATGGTCATTTCACTGGGGTTTCACAGGGAGTAGAGTTAAATGAAGATATGTAGTTTCTCTTGTTTACCAAGAAGTCTGGTTTCTTCTTCTGATATCTAAAATGTTCTTGCCTACACACCATTGTCAGTGATCTGAAGCCTCATTTAGATTCTGGGGATGGCAAACCCCAGTTTCTCCAGTCTTGTTACTGTTTCCCTGTGACTAGCACCCTTATTAGCTTCCGACTCCAAAGCTGTTCGTATGTGTCTTGAATTGCAGTCAAGTTGTCCCCATTGATAGTGTCCCGGATGAAGCCATTTTTGTGTTTTTAATTTTAAAGATGTGGGGGTACAGTTCAGGGTTAGGTATGCAAATGTTCATTATGCAGGTACCCTTGCTGAAGCCATTTTGTTAAGAACGATAGTGTGTTTCACATGTGAAAGGCTGGTTACCTTTAACCTTCTCCAGTATAAATACTTCGGTTTTCCATTTTATATCTAGGTTTTGGGGCAGATATCCTCAGAACAAGTAAAGTAGCATCCTAGATAAAAATGAGATGAAGTGAGTTTTCTACAGCTCTGTCATATGGTTTCCTGCTGTTCTGTTGTTTTTAATTTAATATCATCTCAGTATCACCGACACTGCTGCTAGCACCAGGTATATAAAAAAGGGTTTCTGAGAAGACATTCCTGTTACTCCCCGTGGTCAGTCTAACTTAAGAAGGTGGTATTTGTGCTTCTTTCTGAAGCCAGGTAGCAGTGAGATTAGGAGAAGCAGAAGGGAATAAAATGAGAAAGAGACCGTCAGAGGAAACTTTGTTTTTGTCTCCTAGAGAGATTCATTTGATGAGTAGAAATCGGTTTTGGTCTGTGCCTTGTTATTATACAAAAGATTGAGTTGGGCCAGGGCTACAACTACTCAGGTTGATGAACACCTTGAAGTATATTCAGAAATAAGTCAGTGGTCGGGGTGTAGGTACAACAGAACTAGAAGAATAATTAACTTTTGGGGTTTATACTTGTACCTAGGCTTTTTAGCATAATACTGTGTATACGTACTCTCACTTGTAGTAGTATTAGGAGAATTGTTCTTGTTCCTTTTTAATAGTTTCATAATTCCAATTCTCGTTGATTGACTCTTGGGTGTTTCATTAGCTGACTTGTAGAGCCAGTGTTTATTCATGGGAAAGGAAGGCAACAAATATCTGTCAAAGTGTGTGTCATTTACTCTGTACAGTAGGGATATTCTCTCCCCTTCTCCCTGCCTTCACCTTCATGGGAGAGGAGGGAGCCAAAGCTCGGCAGGGTGTGGTGACTTACTCTCAATCACACGGCCAGTAAGGGAGGCTTCCACATAGTTCAGAGTTTGACCTTGACTCTGAAGTCCACATCTTTCTCATATATTAAGAATATTGTGACACTGGCATTTCAGTGGTTGTTAAACTGTCACACTGATGACTTTCTAATCTAACATCTCAGGGGATCTCCATTTTTCTTTTTCTTTTTTTTTTTGAGTTGGAGTCTCACTCTGTCACCCAGACTGGAGCGCAGTGAGGGGAAGGAATGTACCTGATAAGAAAAGCTCACTTTTGTGGGTTTTTATTTTTTTTTAAATTCTTGAGAGTTGTATTTTAAAAGATATAATACATAAAATGCAGGCGGTATTACAATAGCAATGGAAACTGATTGTCATCTCTTTCTGTTCTCTTTACTATACATAGGGAAATTCTTTCTCTTGCAAATGTGTTGCCCTAAATGTAACAAAGCTTTCTTTTTTCCTGTTGCAGTTTGGGAATACCTGCTACTGCAATTCAGTTCTTCAAGCACTTTACTTTTGTCGTCCATTTCGGGAAAAGGTTCTAGCATATAAGAGTCAACCCAGGAAGAAGGAGAACCTTCTCACGTGCTTAGCAGATCTCTTCCACAGCATAGCCACTCAGAAGAAGAAGGTTGGAGTGATACCTCCCAAGAAGTTCATCACACGATTACGGAAAGAAAATGGTACTTCCACCTTCCAGTGTACTGGTGACATAATAGGAAGACTAAACGTGGCATGCTGTGATTCAGGCATTTGTCGGGCAGCATGTTGGTGTCTCATAACATGTTAGCCATTGACAAAACACAGATTATACTCCCATCTTCATGGAGGCACTAGTTAGTGGAGAAGATGGTCTCACAGTAATTAACATGAGATTTGATTAGTGCTTGAACTGTGGTATGCAAAGATACAACTCTGTGTGCCAGGAAATAAGAAATTATAGTTTCTTATTTTGCTTGCTTGGCTTTTCTTTCAAGAATGAAGGTTGTGTTTTCCCCATGTGCTCATGCATTTGTGATTTTTGTAACGCTTTCATGTATGTTAATGCATTAGAGCCTTGCAGTGGTCTTAGAGAGTGTGCTATTCCCCCCATTTTAGCAATGGAAAAACCAGAAGCCAACAGCTTGCCAGGGAAAGGAAGAGCCAGAATAAGAACTTAGACCTTTTGGCTTAGAGTAGAGATGTTTTGGTTCCCCACCCCCTTTTAAAAATAGTTTCTGTCGGTCCTCTCGTTTCATTTATTTTTGCACAGTAAGCTAGACATTATTACCTCAGTGTACCTGAGATGTCTGAGGCTCAGAGAAGTCACAGTACCTTGTCCGAGGTCACACAGAGTTAGTAGGTGGCAGAGCTGGTGTATAGACTCACTTCTCCCTGACGTCTGAGCTTCACTCTATCTCATATGGTGTCTGCCCCCAAAATTCACATGGAATTTAAATATCGTGTAACATTTCAGTTTTTGTTCGATGTAGGCACTTCAATTTTTGTAGGAATAGAATTGAATGGCATTTTTCAGTTTGTTTTGTCACTTGTTAAATAGAAAGATGCCATTTCCCAGAAATATAGGAATATCCTGAAATAGCATTGCATGGCTGTAAGGCTGTTTATTTTTTAATCTGAAACACATTAGAGATTTGTTCATTTTCCCCACATGTAGGATAGGTGATGAATTGCTCATAAAAATGCATCCTTTCTGTTTCCCCTAATGAAAGCTAAACATATGTACTTTCTTAGATTTATATATGTGTGTGTGTGTGTGTGTGTGTGTGTGTGTGTGTGTGTGTGTGTGTGTATGTGTATATATATATATATATATATATATAAACATATCTTCTGTTTTTTAAAAAGCAGATTTTACCTGTTAAACAATGTGGATTGAGTGATAAAATCTTCTTAGTCTTTTGTCTGTATTGGAGTGAAACTTACACATTTTTTTTTCTTGGTGGGAAGTGCATGTGTATGGTCATTGAACGTGCCATCCTTTTTCAGTGACTTGATAACATAATAGATTTCATAAATACTTCTTGGAATGAGACTGATTCCCGAGTAAATATTTATTTGAAGCCAATTTTCTCATAAATTTTGCTTTTTTTTCCCCCCAACTTCAGAAATAGTATTTAATAGAAAAGCCCTTTTTTTCCCCCCCGATAGAAAGCATTTTTATTATTATTCCATGTCGCTGGCATTTGTAAATATGTCTTGAAATATATTTTTGACTTTTGAAAATTTCCCTGAGAATTGTGTAGAGAAGAGTTGTACAAATCAAAGGAGGTTTAGCATATTCATTGCATATATTTTCTTCGGAGACTTTGCTTTAAATCTCTGGAAAATGTTATCTATTTCAGTATTTTCACTAATTTTCGCTGTTAGATGATTCTTCCTAAATCAGCTTCCTTCCATACTAGGTAAAAACTGTAATAGATAGTAGATTCGTATTGTTTTAACTGCTGTTGCTTTACATTACTAATTTTTTTGATATCCTTTGGGAAACAAGTCATTTTAATTTCTATTAATTAGTGAATTTTTTTTTTCTTTTGAGTCGATATCTTATTCTGTTACACCCAGGCTGGAGTGCATTCATGGCACGATCACAGCTCACCACAGCCATGACCTCCTGGCCTCAGGCGAGCCTTCCTCCTCATTTTCCTGAGTAGTTGGGTCTACAGGCACACACCACCATGCCAGGCTAGTTTTGGTTTTGATTTTTTTTGTGTGTGTAGAGGCAAGATCTTGCTGTGTTTCCCAGACTAGCTGCAAACTCCTGGGCTCAAGCGGTCTTCCTGCCTGGGTTTCCCAAAGCGCTGAGATTACAGGTGTGCGCCACCACACTTGGCCCTGTTTTAAAATTTTTAACTCATGTCACCTAATCCTAGCACAAAAGGTTGGTTGTGCAGAGCTCCTACAGACAGTGCCGCAACACTGACTCCATGAATGTTATCTGGTGATATGATAGATGCTAGCTGGATGCTTGAGTTGGCTGATGATGACATAAATATTTCCTGTCGTGTGTGAGGCACTGTCTAGGAACTGGTGATACAGAAATAAGTCATCAGGATCTGACACTCTAGTAGGGAAGACAGACAGTCAGCAGTCATGTAATATAGTGTGTCACTGCCATGCAGAAAAGGAAGGCCAGGAAGGGGGAACTGAGCGAGGGATTTGCTAGTTGACATGTTGGTGGTTGGGGGTGGTCTCTGACCAGCTGATGTTGGACCAGAAATTTGTAGAGAGGAATGAGCCATTTGAAAATCTGAGACAAAGACATGACCTTGAGAAAGAACAGGAAGTGCAGGCGCCGGAGTGCTGCTTGGAGAATGATGTGAAGATGAGCACGGGAGAGTGGAGTAAGGTGAAGATAAAGTTTGGAGAGACAGGGCCTAGAGCTTGGGCTTCACTTAGAAAACTGTGGCAGCCACTGGAGGGTTCTGAGTAGGTGGACCAGGTGGGTGATTTGCACGAGAAGATCCCTGGGCTGCTGGTGGGGAGCAGCTGGGCATGGTTGGCATGAGAGCAGAGGCAAGAGACAGCTGTGCTGTGCAGCCTTCGTAAGAAACGGAGCTATCTCTTTATAGGTCCTGCTGGCACTCTGCCATGATTCTGGAAGAAATACACCACAGGTTGGTGAGCTAACCGTGTCAGCTAGAGTTGACTCAGCGCCGTGGGCCCGTTGGGGTCACTGAAGGTGGCTCAAGGGCCACATCCACTGGCATGTAGCTGCATGCTCTGAGTCACTGGAGCTTAGCAGTGTTTGTCATTTAAGTTGTTGTTTGGGGACAGATCACTTCCCATATCATCTTACCTATTTCAACCCCTGTTACTCATTCATTCATTCAAAAAATGGAAAGTGCATCTAAGCGCAGGAAATGTCAGGAAGGGTCCTTGTTCCAGGGAACATGCACAGACTTAGTGAGGTTTTAAGTGCTGTGGAGACATACAAAAATATGTGTATATATTTAAATCTTGGTCTTCCTCAAATGAAGAACTATCAGTTGTTCACAAGTCGCACCTATTAAGTAGATTTGAGTGAAGAATTTTTTATGTTTATTTAAAACCATTCTTTTTTTTTCCAAACCGCATGAAAGGTATTTTGTGTCGTAAAAACTATAGCTATTTCTGAATTATGAAGCGAACGTAGCCTATTTTTAAGCAGTGATTTTTTTTTTTAACATTAATTTGCATTTATGTCAGGACTATAGCAGTTTATAATCATACATTTATTTAATAATGAAACTGCCTCTCCCACTCGCCTGTGAGCTCCACAACGCAGGGACTCACTTGTATTTGCTCACCATTATATTCCCAGCACATAATCCGGTTAGCGGTATATAGTAGGTGCCTACTAAATATTTGTTGGATGAGTGAGCGAATGACTGAATTTGCTTCGTTTACCAAGGCGAGTTTTAAGTCTGCCTTTCCCATTTTACTGCTTAGCAGTGAAGAAAGCAAACCATAAAAAAACCAGGATTTTAAAATTAAATATAGCCCAGGCACAGTGGCTAACACCTGTAATCCTAGCGCATTGGGAGACTGAGGTGAGAGGATTGCTTGAAGTGTGAGAAGTTTGAGATCAACCTCAGCAGTATAATGAGACCATGTCTCTACAAAAAAATTAACCAGGTGTGGTGGTGCACACCTGTAGTCCTAGCTAGTTGGGAGGCTAAGCTGCGAGAATCGCTTGAGCCCAGAAGATTGAGGCTGTGGTGAGCTGTGATTGTGCCACCGCACGTTAGCCTGGGTGGCTGAGTAAAACCTTGACTCAAAAAAAAAGAAAGAAAGAAAATTAAATGCAATACAGTTAGTTCATGGGGATATTCCGAGCTCATCCATCAGTTTGTTTCGGTGTTTGTGCAGTCCTGATGGATGGTTTTAGGGCTGTAGTGGCTGCTTTTATACAGTGCAAGATTCTGGCATATTCAATGTACTGTATAGAAAATGAACCATAAATTATTTTAGAAATATCCAACAGAAGTTTCCAGAATATTTTTTGGTTTACTTTATATCTCATTTCCAGAGCGTTCAAGTCAGTTGAGGTATTTTTGTGACTGTGAAGTCATTGTTCTGTGTTGAAAGAGCAGCCAAAAAAAGTTGCAAATTTTTAAGAAGCAAAAACATTTGCACAGTTTTGCTTAAAAAGGCAATTATTTTGAAAAACAGACGTACATGCGCAAATAATTTTTTTTTAAACAGGGAAAAATTAGACTCTTCTGGATGGTGGCCTTGAGCCAGCATGTAGCTTATCCACTGTCGGGAACTGATCATCTTCCGCCTTTCCCCCCCACCCGCCTTCTCTTAAGTCTCTTCACAGTCCTCCATGACTTCCCCAATTCGTTGCCGCTTCTTTAAGCCGCCTCATAGCTAGAGCACAATGACCTTCCACTCCTTGTCTTGGTGGGTGGACCTCTTTGAGTGGACAGTTCTGGATTTGTGACCTGGACCTGGGGATGGGTGAGGGAGAGATGAAGGGGCTTTCATTTTTTTTTTGAGGGTTCAGTCTACTTCAGGAAGCCACCTAGACACTGAAGTGTTGAGGTTGAGGCAGGGGGCAGGATGGAGAGACAAGCCATGATTCAGGCGCCCCGGGGGTGAAGGGAGGTGGGCAGAGCCTCAGAGAGAGGGGAGTTGAGGGTCACAGGATGACTCGATCTTAAGTGCTCTTTGTATTGAGGGCGAGTTTTGTCATGCACGCGAAGTATGAGGGCTTAGAAGTGGCAACAAGGAGCTAGGCGATGCCGAGGGTCAAGAGATGGACGCTTGCTAGAACAGAATGTGGATCCTGGAAGGAGCGGCAGGAAGAGTTGGGAGTGAAGAAGCTTCTGGGGGTGAGGCAGGAAATAAAGTGCAGTCAGCACCAGAGAGCAACAGAGGACGGGCCGGGGTGGAAGGCTGGAGTGTTGCTGATGCTCAGGGATGGAGCCTGATTGCTGTGAGAGGCAAGGTGAGAGAGAACTGACTTCACTTAGCTCCGCTCTGGCCTAGACCTCTGGTGCATCTACATATGGTGGCATCATCTGCGGAGGGTTCTGAACATAGCTTGGCCTGGCCTCGAAGGGCTGGAGTGGACCCCGCGAGGGCTTGAGAGCTGCAGTCGCCTCCTGGTGTGGGGAGGCTGCAGGTACTTACTTACGCTGGGAGCAGGGAGCAGGGAATGGTGTTGCAGGGCTTTGGATCTGCTGTTCCTTGTGAGCAGCCAGTGGACACACAGTATGCCAGGTCAAAGGTCAGGTGTCGCGTCTACACAGGCTAACCCAGCAACTCTTGGACCTCACGGCCTATTGTTCTTAAACATAACATGAGGGGTTTAAGGCCAGGGCGATCCCTCAGGCTAAACTTACAGCAGAGAAGTGAGTTGTGGCAGCAGCTGTGCCCTGAATATTATTATGTTGAGATCCACATTTGTGGAATGGATCTGGACATGTGGAATCAACCAAGTAATGAACATGAAAGACTTGATGTGAACTTCACCATGTAATGCCAGAGGTGCCGGGGGAAAGTCCTTAGCTGGAAAGATTCAGGGTCTGTGAATCCAGCTTGAATACCTGCAGTGTGAAATTGACGGACTGAGTGGGGGTCGCTGACTTGAACTAGATGGACCTTAATGGTTGTGGATCAGACCAGACACTTGCAGGAAATGGCTTTACAAAATGGAAAGGACTTAGGCAGTAATTGGATGGGAGGGGTGTGCTCCAGGCAGTGACGAGGAGCAGGCACGTGGGCTTTTGTGTGGAAAGCTCTGTTTTATTTTTAAATGTACAGATATCACAAGCATGCGTTCTTACAGTAAAACTTTAGTACAAAAATAGGAGTGTCCCTGGATGCTCTGCCCTTCCCAGCCCCACAGCCTCATCTTCCTTAGAAACAACTGGATCCTACCAAACCCCTTCTATGCATTTGAACACAGATGTCCAAATAGAAAACTGTAGTTGCATTTTGGGGTGTTTTGGTGGGTGGCTCTTTTTAAGTGGGATCTGCTAACTTACAGTCATCTTTATAATTGGCTTTCACTTAATGTCTTGGGAGTTTTACCACATTGGTTCAAAAAGAACTACTTCCTTTTTAACTATTGGCTAGTGCTCCACGACAATATTATGCAAGAATTTACACAAACCATTCTCCTGTTGATAAACATTTAGGATGTTTTCAGACTTTTGCTCTTATAAAAATAAGTAGCTGTATTTATGCTTGTTTCACAAAGGCAGATGCTTACCTGGCATCAATAACTAGGAGAACTACGTTGCATTCTTTCAAAGTCATGGCAAGAATCTCCCTTTAAAACATGCCACACCAGTTACACCCCGACAGCAATGGTGGAGAATGCCCAGTTCTTCACGCTCAGGCCAATACTTAAGTCATTTTTTATTTTCCAAAGTAAGGGGCAAAAATTGTTTTGCCATTTTTAACATTTTTTATTTCCCATTCACTTGTCGTGTATTATTTGGGCATTTGTATTTCTACTCTGAACTGCCTGTTATTTTCCACTGCAGTTTGTTTGCTTGTTTTTCTTGTTTTGTAGAGGAATGTTGTGAATACTCTGGGTGTTAAGCCTTCACTCTGGATATTAATATGCAAATATATTGTCCCAGTTTGTCACTTTTCTCTATTTATTTTGACTCTGTCATACAGAAGTTCTTAATTTTAGGTAGTCATTCTTTGATGGGTTTTGTATTCTGTTCAATAACAACAACAACAATATAGGTTGAGCAATCCCTATCCAAAATCCAAAACTTTTTGAGCACTGTGATGCCACCTGGGTGGCTGAGATAGCTTTGCTTTCCGATGGCTCAGTGTACACAAACCTTGTTTCCTGCACAAACTTATTAAAAATATTATATAAAGTCGGGCTCGATGGCTCAGCCTATAATCCCACGCTTGGGAGGCTGAGGTGAGTGGATTGCCTGAGCCCGTGGGTTCGAGACCCGCCTGGGCAACTTAGCGAGACCTCATCTCTACAATAAATTAAAAAAAAAAATTAGCCGGGCATGGTAGTGTGCGCCTGTAGTTCCACCTACTTGGAAGGCGGAGGCGGAAGGATCGCCGGAGCCCAGCAGGTCAAGGCTGCGGTGGCCGGGAGCATGCCACTGCACTCTAGTCTGGGTGACAGAGTGAGACTCCAACTCAAAAAAAAAAAATTATATAGAATCACCTTCAAGCTATGTATACCAGGTATATATGAAACATAAATGAATTTTGTCATGAGATGTGGGCTCTGTCTCTAAGATACCGCATGATGTGTGTGCAAATATTCTACAATCGAAAACAATTCAAAATCCAAAACACTTCTGGTCTTATTTTGGATAAGTAAGCCATTTGGATAAGAAAGAGCTATATTATTACAGGTTGAGTAGCCCTGTAATAATATAACTCCACCTGTAATAATAATAGAGCTATTGTTGTTGTCATTGCTGTTGAACAGAATACACAACCACAGCACCTGTTGTTGAGTTGGGTGCTGTTGTTAGCCCCGATTTCAGATGAGAAGCTGTGGACAGGGAGTGAAGAGCATTGCCTGTGACAGATGGAGTTAGAGGTGGAACCATCACACCAGCCCAGACAGCCTCATTCTAGTGGCTGCACCTTAAATGGATATTTTTTAAAGGTCTTTTTGATTAAAATCATTTTAAGTTTATTTTGAATATTTATTTAAATAAATACATAAATATTTCTTCAGTATTTATATTCAATAAGTATCTTCTCTTGTTTCCATTTTATTTTTACAATAATTCTGCAGAGGAAGATGGTATCCCATTTGACAGATTGGACAATCAACATTTTTTTATTACCGTAGGGGTGAACACTTTCTATGTTTCTAGCCTTTTGGATTTTTTTCCTGTAAATTGTTGATTGCAAATCCTTTGCCTACTCTAGCTTTCTTTTGTAGGAGGTCTTTATATGGTGAAAATCTTTAGAATTTTCAGATTCCACTTTTTTTTAAAAACTTTTTTAAAGAGTTCTAATACATAGAACTTAAGTTCATGAAGTCATATATCTCTTCAAAAGTATAATTTTTAATTTTTTTATCTTAGACTTTCCCTAAATTTCCTTCTAAATTTGTATGGACTAATTTTTAAAATGTAAAGTCTTACTGGAATTTATTAAATGTACATTAAAGATCTAAGAATAAAATTTCCTACATGGGTGATTTTTCTCAGTGCATTTGGTTAATAATCTGTGCATCTTATGTGGAAGCTCACACTGGACATTGCTTTGTGGGTAGTACAGTGGAGTCAGGCTGCCTGGTTTGAGTCCTGGCTCTGCTGTTTACTGTAAGTACAGCTTGACCCTCTCTGATCCCATTTCTTCATTTAGAAATAAAGTGAATAGCAATGGCATTTGGTTGTTAAGGGGGTTGAATGCAAAACTGACTCTAAAGTCTGTATTGTTCCAGGATAGGGTTGTGTCTTGCCAAGCACAGGATACTGTGCTTAATATTAGCATGACCAGTATTTCCATTGTATGTCCTCATTTGTATAACCACAGGGAACACTTCATGGAACTATATAATGTGACATGGGGAAGGGACTTGATAGATTATCTAGATCACAGAGATAATTCTCGACACCCTCATTCCTAGACCTGGTTACACATCAAAGTCACCTGGAGGAGCTCTGAAAAGCCCCGTGTTTGGGCCTCACCCCTGACCAACTACATCAGAATCTCAGGGGTGGATGTTCCAGTCATTTATTTTTAATAAACTTGGTGGTCCTTGAGCAGTTGACTTGGCGTTGGCAAGTAGTTTTCCAGCTTCTGCAAACTTGCCATGTTGGGGTATTTGTGGGGTAATAGATTAGATGACCCAATAGAAAGCAATGGTTTCTTATCTTCCTTGTGTCTGTTCAGTAAGTATATGAGGATAGATTTTGCCCCTTTCTCCTGGATCATATTTTTAAAGATTTTCATTCTTCTTCACTTTATTTTCCCCAATTTCAGTCAGTATTTTTAGATGTGAAGTTATCTAAGCATTTATACTTCTGGTTTTGGTTGAATACAAGATATTCTTTTTAAAAACTGTTTTGTATGAGTTGTTAATTCTGAAATAATTCTTTCATATTATGTTTTTATTTTTAGAACTTTTTGACAACTACATGCAACAAGATGCCCATGAATTCTTAAATTATCTACTAAATACAATTGCTGATATTTTACAAGAAGAGAGAAAGCAGGAAAAACAAAATGGTCGCTTACCTAATGGTAATATTGATACTGAAAATAATAACAGCACACCAGACCCAACGTGGGTTCATGAGATTTTTCAGGGAACATTAACTAATGAAACCAGATGTCTTACTTGTGAAACCGTAAGTATATCGTAAAATTTTGTATGGAAAATAGAATACATTTAAATCATTATGTTAAAAGTTGTCCTTTGAGGAGGAGAGGATGGGAGCTGAACTGGAACGTTGTCAATTCTTAGTGTAGGGTAGAAATGAAAGATGTGTTTTGCAGTTAAAAGGAATCTGCTGCTTATTGACAGCGCGTCACCGAGGTGATAGAAAGATGCTTATTGCAGATGGAACTATTTGATTTTGTTTCTGTTTAGAAGGCTATAGAACCATGTTGTGGAAATTATATGTCTTAGGCCAGGGAGGTATAGATTTTTCTTTTCCTACTATTGTGTTTAGTGTCTATTGTTGGAATAACAACTAAAGCATGCTGTGTCCACTTGAGAAGGGGAAAATGCCCACTTGCTGGACACTTTGTAAAGATGAAGCTTAAACATAGTTATGCCCACAATTAGATAGTCCAGCACTTTTGTTATACGTTCTTACCTTGTCATCTGATTTCTTACTGTGGAGTGAAAGATCAGACTTTATTTAATCAATCATCCGTGAACCAACTTGGTCAGTTGAACTAATGATGATCTTGATAGCATTTCTTCCCATTACATACCAAATCCAATTTAGAGTTGGACATTGCATTTAGTTATGTTTCTTTAGCTTCTGTGAATCTGATGCATTTCCATCGTCTTTTTTGTCTGTTAAGACATTAACATTTTTAAAGACTGTCCCTCCCCTTTTAATAGAATGTTCTCATATTTAGTTCCTCTAATGTTTCTTCTTAATTAGATGCAGATTATGCATTCTTGACTGGAATAAGGATTATTAATAAATAACTATATATAAACATGATGTGTGATTTGTATATCTTTCTTGAGGTGTCCAGGTTTTTTTTTTAATCTACTTTTCAGTTGGACTGTTTGTTTTCTTACTGTTGAGTTTCAGTATTTTTTGGTTGTTGTTTTAGTATAATTTAGGATTCTAGTCCTTTACTATATAGGTCTTTTGTAAATGTTTTCTCCCAGTCTCTGGCTTGTCTTTTCATTCTCCTGTTTTTGGCAGAGTAGAAGTTTTTAATGTTTTAATTTTCAGTGAAGTCCAATCTTTTTAATTTTCAATGTTAGTGAAGTCCAATCTTTTTTCATGGATTATGTGATTGGTGTTGTATCTAAAAAGTCATCAATAAACTTGTGGTCACTTAGGTTTTCTCATATGTTATTTTCTAGGAGTTTTATAGTTTTGTATTTTATGGTTAGGTCTATTATCCTTTTTGAGTCAATTTTTGTGTAAGATGTTAAAAGGTCTATGTCTAGATTAATTTTATTGCATTCAGATGTCCAGCTTTCCCAGCATTATTTGTTGTAAAGACTATCCTTTCTCCATGTAACTGCTTCTGCACCTTTGTTAAAGATGAGTGGACTATGTGGGTATGTTTCTGGGCTCTCTGTTGGGTACCATTGATCTGTGTCTGTGCTTCGCCAGCACAACGCTGTCCTGTTACTATAGCTTTAAAGTAAGTCTTACGTCTGGTAGTGTCCGTCTTCTGACTTTGTTTGTCTCTTTTAATATTGTGGTGGCTGTTCTGGGTCTTTTGTGTCTCCGTATGAACTTAGAATCAGTTTGTTGATATCCACAAAATAACCTGCTGGGATTTTGATTAGGGTTTTGCTGAATCTGTAGATCAAGTTGGAAGAATGACATCCTGACACTTCAAGTCTTTCTTTTCAAGTTATATGAACCATCTCTCTATTTGTTTACCTCTTCTCTGATTTCTTTCATTGGAGTTTCATTATTTTTCCTTATATAGAATTTAAACATATTTTGTTAGATTTATACCTAAATATTTCATTTTGGCGGATGCTAATATAAATAGTATTTATTCATTCAGCAAATCTTTATGGTTCTGTCATGAATAACACCATAGGATCTTTAAATAAAAGCCATAACTCACAACAGCAAGTGATCTGTTGAATGTTGATTTACATTGATTTTTTTAACAATAATCAATCATTTGTAAAATGATGCTGTCACTACTGTAATTTTAATTAATGGAGAACACAATACTAGTAAATAAAATTCTCTTTTCTAAATAAATTCTTAGTGGTGAACCTCTTTCAGATCAAGTGAAAGAGAAATAACTAAGTGCTTGACTTCATTAGCAGCAGCCTGTGAAGATGTTTTGGGGCCAGAGAAGGATGCTTTTGGGGTGTGGTCTTTTCTGCTAGCCCGAACAGCCGTTAAATGCAGTGATGACTTGACTGGACAACATTTGATGTTGGGAGTTGAACTGAATACTCCTCTTTATTCAGTCGAATTATCTGTAATTTTTGTTTTAACAGGGGTTTTTGAGATGTCTCTTATAAGAAAAATTTTGCCATAATTGAGTTTCAGACTTTAAGAAACATACTGCCCAGTTATTAGAGTGGTATTTCAATTGGAATGGTAATTGTAATCAGAGAACTTGGCAGCTGCTTGATATTCATTAGAATGGAATTTGATCTGTGTTAAAAGATGTCAGACTGCATAATTCAGCCTTCTTCAATGAAAGAGAAAATAGTTGAATTTGCTCAGCATGTTGAATAGTGCAGCAATGGGCGCAGCTGACCAGGTAGACTTGGAATCCTATGTGGAGGACTTTGAGATGCTCTGCCAACGCCTTTGACGTTTATTTGTAGCCTGAGAATGGCAGGGGTTGAAGATTCAACATTTTTAAGGGAGATGGTGATGTCAGCCATCCTTGTTCATAGTGTTTAAATATGAATTCATGTGATTTGTAAGGGATAGATGCTGATTTCTTTACTTGATCCTCCTGTGGCCTGCAATATATCTTTACAGATAGTTTCTTGAGAATTAAGAGTGTGAATTGAGAATATTTCCTCAGACTTTAAGTCCTCATCATGGATGCAGCAAATGATCGTAGTATCACGCCTTTATCCGACTGAGTTGAAGGGATGAAAGCCAGGAACTTTCAAGAATGAATATATAGTATTTCTTTGTTCAGCATTGCACAGATATTTAAGTACCGGGTAGGGCTGGTGGAAGATGTGTGAAACACGAGTCTCTGATCTCACAATGCTCATATGGCAGCAAAGGCTGGTCTTAAAGTCTGGGACAGTGTTGTGATAGGTGTGAGGTGAGTGAGGGAGACCTTGTCCAGGTGGGTGGGAAGGGTTGGGAAGGCTGGGGGGGGCTTTCGGAGGGGCTCGGGTTTTAGCAATGTGGTTGTCCATATCTCACTTGGTAGGAGACTGGTTTCTGCAGCTCCCTTTTCTGGTGTTCTCTGCTCGGCAAGGTTCTTTCTCAGTCCCTTTTCTTGGCGTTTCTCTTCCCGTTTATTCTTTAAGTGTGGGCGTTCCCCAAGGTTTCATTGTGGGTTACTTCTCTCTTTGCATTGGGAGGATCATGTTTCATTTTCATGATCACATGTGTCGATTAGTCCTAAGTCCAGATTTCCAGCCTTGACTTCATCTCTGAGTTCTAGACTGGGGTATCCCCAGACTGGCTGGGATGCGACGTTAGGACATACTAACCCCGCAGCAACCAGGCGTGTTGACAGCCGTTTTGAAAAGAGAGATGCTGCTCTACTTGGTGACCAGCTGGCACCAACCCAGTTACAAATACATACAGAACAACTCAGGTGATGCAGAGAGCCCTGTGATGCTCTTCACATAATCATACACGTGAAGGTTTAAAACAAAGACCCTTAAGGCAATGTCTGAGAACTTCAGTTTAAGAAATACAAGTCTTTTGAGCAGCAGCAGTCAGTGTCATCTTCACTTCTCGAGCCTACCTGGGCCCTGCCTGATGGCTCTAGCCTGCCTGTGCCATGCTGTCTCTTGTCACCCAGCCCACTTTCCTGCAGAACTGGGCTCATTATTTTTCCTCAGCCACATCATATTTTCTTCTTTCTTCCCCCTTCTTTTTCACTGGAATTTTTGAGATCCAGGTCGCCTATCTTGTAGTGTTGCTGTACTGTATATCGTACAGTGGGATGGCATCTTCTGTGGGGTTTAGATTCTAGGGTCAAGACCAGGGAGGGTCGAAATCACCTCCCTTCACCTATAAAACATGGTATGCATGGTGCCCTAGTATTATATTTGCGTAAATATGGAATATGTACAACCACATAGTCAGAACCTAGTGTACTGAGTGTATACTGAAGACGCAGAGGACAGGAAGGCCTCTGATCTCCTGCTGTGGAGTCAGAGTGGCTGAGAGGCACAGGGAACTGAGTGACTGTGTCTCCCCTTGCGAACACGCCTAGGAGTTGGACTCATTGAAGGAAACAACTCAGAAATGTGTGTCTCGAATTCCGTCCTATTCCAGTTCACACAAGCAAATACAAACTTTAGTTTTTATAAGGCAATTTACCTATCAGTCAAACAGAACTTTATGTTAGGTTTTTTCGGATAAATTAAAGTAGGTCATAAATGAAGATTGTAATTTGGCATTTGGGGCTACAAAGTATTTTTTTAATGATAAGACAATATAGATGTCATGTCCTTTGTAAACATTCTCATTGCCTTGGCCTATGTTTTTCAAGAATCAGTGTGTATGGTACAGTTTCATACTTTAAAACAACACAGAGATTTTAGAAAATAATGAAATTTCACATCTTACAAGCCTTTGCCAGTGAGAGAATCATTACATATGTACAGGTGATATAGGTTATTTATTCAGTGGCCTTTGTGTAATCTAAATCAAGTAGTTTTCTTCTGACTTCAGGAAAAAGAATTGTTTACCTATTTACTACTATTAATAGAATGCATTCAGTTATGTTAATTGGGAACTGTCGTTTGCTACTGTTTGGGAAATCAAAGATATAAATCACTGTTTTTACAGATAAGCAGCAAAGATGAAGATTTTTTAGACCTTTCTGTTGACGTGGAACAAAACACATCAATTACTCACTGCTTAAGGTGTGTGTAGAATTATTTATTTTGAAATTTAATAATTAGTTTTGGATAGAATATTTTAAAACAGATACATGATTTTCTGGTGTATACAAAATAAATTTATTTTGAATTTCATACAGGGGTTTTAGCAACACAGAGACTCTATGCAGTGAATACAAGTATTACTGTGAAGAGTGTCGCAGCAAGCAGGAAGCTCACAAACGGTAACTGGTGCTGTGTGGGTGGGTGTTCAGTGATGTTTTGGCAATGGGTGTTGTAGATGGACTTAGAAAAGCGAGCTATGAAAATTACACTTGAGTACAAGTTCTTAACTCTGTCACCAGCTCATTGAGTATTACCAGATAAATGATATTCCACGTGATGCCTTTGTTATGAAGACTGTACCTGCCAGTGATTTTTCTAGGTTTAGTGATTATGTAATAATCATAACCCAGTCCAGTTAAAATAGTAGGCCTTGAAGCTTTCTTCTTTATGTGGACTTTATTCTTGGTGGGGGGGAAGGGGGAGAAAGTGCTCCCTCCCTCCACCCTGTTTCTGCTTTTCCACATAGGACATTACACATTCTCTTAGCAGGTTATTAAAAGACTGGTTTGGTGTCAGGGAATGGATTCTTCATCCTCGGTACTTTACTTTTCATTTTGAAATAATCTCAAACTCAGAAGAGAAAAGTTGCGTGAATAATATAAGGATGCTTCCTTACCCAGCACATTGGACCATAAGCCCCTGATAAGTGCCACATCCATCCGGTCAGAAGGGAACATCGATGTGCTATTGTGATCTCAGACCTTATTGTGGTACCACCAGATGTCCCAGTAATATCTTTTATAGAAGAAGGATCCAGGCCAGAACTGCACATTCCATTCAGTATTCTGTCGCTTTGGGTTTTTTTTCCAGTTTGTAACAGCTCCTCAGTCTCTTCTTGACTTTAATGATCTCGACTCTTGAACATCACGAGTTTGTTGCTGTAGCATGTCCCTCATTTGGCTGGGGTGACAGGCATGTGTCACCACTCCTGATTAGTTTATTCTATTTTATTTTTTAGAGTTCCCTGTGTTGCCTAGGCTGGTCCTAAATTCCTGACCTCAAGCATTCTTCCTGCCTCTGTCTCCTGAGTAGCTGGGGATTATAGGTACAACCTACCATGACCACTGCATAGTATTTTTTTTTTTTTTTGAGTTGAAGTCTCACTCTGTCACTCAGACTGGAGTGCAACGGCCGCTCCTGGCCACCGCAGCCTCGACCTGCTGGGCTCCGGCGATCCTTCCGCCTCAGCCTTCCAAGTAGCTGGAACTACAGATGCGCGCTACCACACCCGGCTAATTTTTGATTTGTTGTAGAGATGAGGTTTTGTCAAGTTGCCCATGCAGGTCTCGAACCTGCGGGCTCAGGCAATCCACTCACTTCGGCCTTCCAAAGTGCTGGGATTACAGGCTGAGCCACCGAGCCCGGCCTGCATAGTATTTTTTTTGTATACCATATATCTACCCAGTTTTCTAAATCTAACAACTTAGATGTTTTCTCTGTTACAAGCAGTGCTTTGCAAACACACCCCTTACATATTTTTTAACTTTTTTTTTTTTTGAGTTGGGGGGGTCTCACTTGGTGTCCCAGGCTAGAGCGCAGTGGTGGCAATCTTAGCACAGGTGATCCTCCCACTTCAGCCTCCTGAATAGCTGGGCCTACATACATGTGCCACCATGCCTGGCTAATTATTTTTTGTAGAGACAGGGTCTCACTATGTTGCCTAGGCTGATCTAGAAGTCCTGGACTCAAGCAGTCCTTCTGCATCGGCCTCCCAAAGCTCTAGGATTATAAGCATGCACCATGGCCCCGGTCCGTTTCTTTATGTTTGTAGGATAAGCTATGCATGAGTTCCTGGAAAGACAATTGTACAGAAATTATATATTTCTCATTAGATTCTCTTGTCAACCCTAGTGATAATTTATAGTGTGATAGCAGGCTGATCAGTTAATCTTTTTGGGCCTTACTTGGATTAATCCACTTCTTGGGTCTCTACCAGCTCTCAATAGTTTATTGTTTCTAGTTTCAGAATAACAGAATAAGCTTGTGTTGAATATATAGACTGTAGTTCTTCCTAAGGAAACAAATCAATTTGAGTAAAGAAGTTTCACTCTGGGTGAAGGACAGAGCCCAACCATCATTCCAGTGAGTGCAGAACAGCATTTGACAAATTTTAACACCCTTTTATGATAAAATCACTCAGTAAACCAGGAATAGAAGGAAATTACCTCAACCTAATAAAGGCCATATATGAAAAGCCCACAGCTAATGTCATACTCCAGGGTGAACAATGGAGAGCTTTTTCTTTAAGACAGGAACAAATACGGATGCCCACTCTCGCCACCCCACTCAGCATAGTACTGGAAGTTCTAACCAGAGCAATTAGGCAAGAAAATGAAACAAAAGGCATCCACACAAATTGGAAAGCAAGAAGTAAAACGATCTCTTTTTACAATGGCATGATCTTGTATTTAGAAAACCCCATAGATTCCACAAACAAACTGTTAGAACTAATAAGCGCATTCAGCAAAGTTACAGGATACAAAAAACACACAAAAGCCACCTGCATTTTTATACACTAACAGTGAACTAATCTTAAAAGGAAATTAAGGAAACATTCCGTTTATAATAGCATCAAAAACAATAAAATATTTAGTAATAAACCTAATCAACATGGCAAAAGACTTGTACACTGTAAACTAACGATAAAATATTGCTGAAAGAAATTAGATATAAATAAATGGAAAGACATCCTGTGTTCATGAATTAGAAGACTTAACGTTGGTTAAAATGTCCGTATTACCCAAAGCAATCTGCAGAATCATTGCAATCCCCGATCCTTATCAAAATGACATTTTTTTCTGAAATAGAAAAATCATCCTAAAATTCTTACAGATTCACAAAAGACTCTTGATAGATGAAGCAGTCTTGAGACAGAAGAACAAAGCTGGGAGGTATCACACTTCATGATTTCAAATTACAATGCTACAGTAATTAAAACAGTATGATGCTGCCCTAAAAACATATAGTCCAGTGGAACAAACTAGAGAACCCAGAAATAAACCCACACAGTTAAGTGATCTTCAGCAGGGACAACTTGAACACAAAATGGGGAAAGGATAATCTCTTCAATGAATGATGCAGGGAAAACTGAATTTCCACATTCAGGAGAATAAAGCTGGACCCTTACCTAACATCATCTACAAAAATTAGGTCAAGATGGATTAAGATCTAAAGAAACTATGGAACTCTTAGATGAAAACATAGGGGAAAAACTTTATGACCTTGGATTAGGCAGTGATTTCCTGCATATGACTACAAAGGCACAGGCAACAAAACGAAAAATAGACAAATGGGAAAGCATCTAGCTTTAAACTTCTGCAAAGCAAAGGAAACAGAGTGAAAAGGCAACCTGTGTAACCATAGAAAATATTGGCAAGACAGACTGTGGCTCACACCTGTAATCCCAGCACTTTGGGAGACCAAGACAGGAGGATCACTTGAGACCTGGAGGTTGAAGCTGCAGTAAGCTATGTTATACCACTGCACTCCAGCCTGGGCAACAGATCAAGACCCTGTCACTAAAACAAATGCACATACACAAAATAATAATCCAATTTAAAGATGGGCAAAGGACTAGAATAGATATTTCCTCAAAGAAGATATGCAGATAGCCAACAAGCATAAGAAAAGATGTTCAGCATCACTAATAATCAGAGAAATATGAATCAAACTACATGAGCTCTCACCTTGCACCTGTTAGAATGGACACTATCAAAAAAGCAACATGTTACCAAGGATGTGGAAAAATTGGAACCCTTGTACACGGTTAGTGGGAATGTAAAATGATGTATCTGCTATGGAAAACAGTATGGAGGGTCCTCAAAAAATTAAAAATAGAACTCCCATGTGTTTCAGCAGTCCCACTTGTGGATATATATATACTCCAAAAGAATTCAAAACAGGATCACGTTCATGTTCATTTCAGTGTTATTCACAATAGCCAAGAGGTGGAGACAACGTAGAATATCTATCAACAGGCGAAGGGAGAGAGCAAACGCAGTGTATGCACACCATAGAATGTGACCTGGCCTTTCAAGTAAAAGAACTCTTGTTATATGTGCAGCGTGAAGGAACTTAGGATATTATGCTAAGTGAGAGAAGTCAGTCAAAAAAGACAGCTGCTACTTGATTTCACCTAGATGTCTGAAAATGTCAGACTTTCAGAAGCAAAGTAGAGTGGTGGTTGCCACAGGCTGGGAGTGGAATACAGGGAGGCAGTTGTTCACTGGGTGCAGAGTTTCATTGAGGAGATGAAAATGTATCTTTTGTGCAGTAATGTTCCTGTAGTAAACATGACTGTGGTGCACACGTAAATGGTGAAGATTGTAAATTTCGTTGTATTTTTAACCACAATAAAAATATGCACTTGGGGCCTGACTACTGCTCACGTATCCCTATTGGCATCAATATTTAAAAAATTATTCTTCCAAGAAGGTTTAATCTGGGAGCATTGAAGGATGATTCTGGGAATGTTAATAATGTGCCACAGAACAAGTATCCCATGTGCAAATGAATGTGCTGCAGAATAAAATTTTCTCTTAGATATTCGTGTTTTATATTGTAGACTCTAAGAAGACTCACAGTGTAGAGGAACTGTAACGTTATCTAGCCTTTTCCAGAATTTATTTGCACAGAGACTCCTTTTCTTATAGCATGCCTAGTACACTATACACAGCACAGTTCAGGAAAGATCCCGGTTTGGGAGATGTGACTCTGATAAGTGTGTGGGCCCACTGGGAGGAGAAGAGTAGGTAGGGGAGGATGGGCTCCCCGGGGAATGGTACTGAGGAAGGACTGAGGTCTTTATTTCAGCTGTTGTTTTTCCTGTCCTCGGCATGTGTGGGGTGGAGTAGGGTGGGGGCAGGGCTGAGGTACAGGCACGCCTCATTTCATTGCACCCTGCTTTGGGACCTCCTTGGAGATCCTGTGTTTTTCACACATGGAAGGTTTGGGGCAGCCCCCCATCAAGCAAGTCCACCAGCACCATTTTCCCACCAGCCTGTGCTGACATTGTGTCCCTGTCACATTTTGGTGATTCCCGCAATGCTTCAGGCTTTTTCGTTATTAGTTGTGTTGTGGCTGCCCGTGATCAGCAGTTGGTTGTTGATGTTACTGTTGG